ATGTGCAATAAGTGAGAAGTATTTTCATTCTTAATGAGTTTGGTAGCCTACATATAAGTTAATAAAGTAAAAGGACTTTCAGTTAAATTTATTTATTAATTTATTGACTTTTTTAGTACTTATTGTTATAGACCACTTACTGCAAATATTCAGATGATATTGTTTTTCTTAATCTTATTTTCAACTAATCATTTTTTCACTCATGACTTATTTTAATTTAAATTTATTTTTCTATTAAGTCTGCGCTCATAGTGTATTTGATCACTGTATATTTATTAATAAAGCAAGGTACTGAAAATTAAGTTACCAGATATCATTTATACTCAATGATCAATTATCTTTATTTACGGACTATCTTTAGCAAATACTCTTTGTTATCACGTAAATCAAAATTTTTAATATTCAACGCTCTTTTCTTATCTTCTTAATTGTAGACGGGATGGAAATGTTTAGCTACATGCTATGTGTCTTTCATAACATGGTAATGGGTACAGCACTCCACTTATGTCTCAGTAAACAATGTGAAATTTGAAGCAATTTGAAAGAGAAGAAATGGTCGTGGTCAATCCCGTGCTGGAAAAATATACAGATAAATTATATTTCTCTCTTTTTATGAGTTTGTCTATACTTTCAACACATATGAAAGCTGATTCCCGTGGGGGTTGAACCGCTTTCGTTCAGCTCACGAATCCAAACAAATTCACAACCCGCGATCACATTCGATTCGGATCGGGAGAATTGAAATCATTTTATTTTTTCCGATGTAATTCAATTTATGAAGCATTTATGTAGTATGTGATATTTCTGATATATTCGTCTTTTTATGAATGAAATATATTATAGAGATGAAGAATTCTATGGCCTGGCAAATGGGAGGAAAACAATTTTTTACTTTTCCTCACAAATACAATCTAGATCTATTTTAGGGAAAAGAGGATTAATTTCATTACAACAAAATGTTTGTTGTGGAATTATTTCTTGAATCGTCAGAGAATCGTCAGAAAATAAAAAAGTCGGAGGCGTTATGACAGAATGTTTAAAATTTAATTGTCGTCTGGCCAACGGAGGAAATGATCTGACGATTTATCTCAGTGTCATTGTGACCGTATATGGCGGAGGAAATGATCTGACGATTTATCTCAATGTCATTGTGACCGCCTCGTCAAGTATGAGTAGACAATAATTGACAGAAAGAGAACGAACGCCGTTTCTAGGAGTTAGGAAGTGCGAGGAGAAGTAATTTTGATTACTCCTACACGAGCACGCTATATTTACAAAGCACGCTACATAGCTACTTATTATCCATTATGTATGTATGTACATACACATGTATGTATGTAATTGTTTTCGAAACACGCTATCGAGCTCCAATGAGTTGTCTATCACACGCGGCATTGGGGCAAGAAATCCTTCACGATGGTAGTAGGGATAATCTATCATTGGTGAGAGTGAGAGCCATGCTCTTTCTGATACCGTCGTGCGTGAGGGATTTCTTGCCCCAACGCTGGTCACGCCGTGACGTGAGCCGACAATCGATCGATCGTCAGGAGTTGTCGAAACATTAAGTTCGGCCGGTATTTTCAAGCTAACCTCATGGAGTGAGCGAATTCGCCTGGTTGAACCAATGAATTTTCGTGATCGGAGATAATCGTATAAAAGATAGTGTAAAGTAAAAGTAAAAACCCGGCCGATTATATCTTATAACGTGAGAACATGAACGGAAATCAATCGGTTGATTCGAATGGCGAGAAAGAACGACAGGTAGCCGAAAAATTCTTGAGCAAGTTTAATTTGGCGGTAGAGGATGGTAGCCTGAGTTTCGGGAGATTTCGGTCGATATGCGAAGAACTTTTCCAGCCGGACGAGATTCAACGGGAGGAGTGGAGAATTCAAGATATGTTCGGTTTATTTGACCAAGATAAGGACGGTGTTTTAAAGGCGCAAGAATGGCGAAGGTAAGTACTATTGAACAATCGATCTATTGTTCGTTGTTCGTATCACGTAACCAAACCAATAATGTAATTGTTTAACTGAATCACCGGACGCGAGTACGTAACGATACTCTGATTATTCGATTGATTGCTGTTTGTACATACATTAACACAGGATATGTATGTGTAAATACATACCTGCAAAATTACCTGTAAATATACCTGTTGTTTATTTCGATTATATACGATGTAAGGTGGAAGGAGGAAATCAAAGAAATCTAGGAGAAACCCAATAAAGTTCTTCTTTCTTATTCAATATCTGGATGAACTTATGATTTTATAAACGCATGACAAAATATACAATAC